TCAGTGCGTTGTGAGCGCTCGTCAAAGATGGACATCAACAAAGAGAAAATTCGCTATATTTTACAATTTTTCTTCGATCAAAGCGAAAAAGCAGCCAAAGCGGCTGAAAACATTAATTTAGTTTATGGGCCCGATACTGTAAACGAACGTGTAGCACAAAAGTGATTTGCTAGGTTCCGTTCCGGTAATTTCGATGTCAAAGATGCACCACGCGTCGGGCCTGTCGTCGAAAATTGCGATAAAATCGTGGAAATAGTGGAAACAGACCGTCACATGAGCACTTATTTAATTGCTGAGGAACTAAAGATAAGCCAGACAACCGTTTGGAACCATTTGCATAACCTTAGATTCAAAAAGGAGCTTGATGTTTGGGTGTCACACGAACTAACGCAAAAAACATGATGGACCGAATTTCCATCTGCAAATCGCTGCAGAATCGCAACAAAATCGACCCGTTTCTGAAGCGGATTGTGACTGGCGATGAAAAATGGGATCATCAGGACCATCAGGACAACGCCAGGCCACACACGTCTTTGGTGACTCGCCAGAAGCTCCTGGAGCTCGGATGGGAGGTTCTAATGCACCCACCTTATAGTCCGGACCTGGCACCAAGTGATTACCATCTTTTCCTGTCCATGGCGAACGCGCTTAATGGTGAGAAGTTGGCCTCAAGAGAGGCCTGTGAAAATTGGCTCTCCGAGCTTTTTGGCAATAGGGACGCAGTCTTCTACGAGAGGGGTATAATAAAGTTGGCAACAAGTTTACGAACAAAACGGCGCACATTTGACTTAAATCGGACAAATGTACACAAAGTTATCATCTTTTGAAAAATCAATAAAAAACCGAACGAACTTTTTATTTTACCTAATATCATCTCTATCTAATAACAGTGGGTCCTTATGCCTAAAAAAGCAACCATATAATTTATATAAGGACTTCAAACTTCCGGTAGCCTTTCTACTGTATATATCAGTGAATTTGTACGATATCTTAACAAAATAAAGTGAACTTATAACATATAGATCCAATATTATAGTTTAATGCAGAAATTGGGTAAAATTGTATACTATTGTACATATACATACAGGTTCTGGAATCCGACAGAAAGTGGAAATTAAAATGAATACAAAAACGAGTGAATTTGGTTTTGGTGTTCTGAAAAACGATAAATTTGGCCATTTTTGTTCACTTTTTTATTTACATCATCAGTATATTTGCAACGATTGTAATGGAAGATGAGCTGCATGCAGAAGAAGCCCCACCTGTTTCTGTAGCTTAAGAAATGTTGTGGGAAACTTTCTAATGAAAACCTTCCAATCCATCCAAACCTAATGGAAAATTAACTTGGTTCTTACCTTTTTCCAGCCAGAAATATCCTTTTCTAATGAACCATGTAACGGGTTTTTGCTTTTTAGACAATACTATTTTCGGAGTTGGTCTTTTTACAGCTGTTATTTTATTTATACTCAGTTTGGTTTGGCATATAAAAATAAAGAAACTTACTTCGGAACATCGTTTGCAAATCGTACAAATTTATTACCAAAACTATGGTTCAGTTCGCGCAACGAATCGCGTGCTGCGCGTCGACATAATCGCCCAGCAGAGTAGGTACTTTGTGCAAACATGAATAGGCTTCGCACCATGTTATAACAATCTGTTGATAACAATCTACAAGCCATTGTTAAGATGCCGTTACATCCTCAAAAAGTCATTGTTTCGTGTGTTCTATAGACAGGACCATATTTCTTCAAAAATGAAGCCGGCCATAATGTTACAGTTAATCAGGAACACTATAGAGCCATGATTAAAAAATCTTCGTGCCTGAATTGTAGGATGTTGATATGGATAAACTTTGGTTCCATAAGACGGCGCTATGTGCCATACGGCCAACGAAACAATCAATTTTGGTGAGCACATTGGAAGAGTATATTCGGCGCTTCTTGCTGACAACGCGCAAAACATGGTCAAAATTGGGATTTATTCCAGCCAGCGGTGGCCACTTGCCGTTAAGGCGTTTATGTTGGTCAATATATGTGATATTTAAATTTTTCATAAACACAATAAAGTGCAATGCTGAATAAGAATGAAATTGGTTTAGACCGTGACCTAAGTCCCTTATCCCCATTATAATGATTACCGTTTCACTGGTTATACATATACCCAATATATAAAATTAATCTCTTTGGTTGAGTTTATATCACATATATCTTATTTGAGTTACCGATATCTCGGATATGAAGTAGAATATAATAATGACTAAGTAAGTCTACGACTTATAGTAAAAGTTAATAAGCTACTAAACATCCTTTCCCCCTTTTCGTTGAATAATGAACATTGAATTCTTAACATTTTTAATATAAAGTTTTGTCAATACCTTGCTATAGCGTAAAATGTTCCCGAACTTAACTTAGCCCTTCTTACTTGTTTTTCTTCATTTTAAAACGGCATACGATGGTATAAATAGATCGAACAAGGACACAATATTTTTCTAATCGACTCAAATTAATGCTTCCGCTACGAAATAGAGATCGTTGCGACATCTATAGACGATTTAAAAACTATGTATATATAAATAGAAAAAGATGCAAGGATTATGGGTCTTACAATACATGAATAAGAAACTAAAGTATTAATATCCTCAACGGCGAGATCAGTGCACCACAGTATCGGACAAAATTTTAGTGTTGGCGAGTTTAACTTTGAAATAGAACGAAAGGTATTGTGTAAAGTTTTTGCAGCTGTTTGCGGTGATGGCTGGTCGTAGCGATATAACTACGATATACAGGCTTTGTATACGCACCCCGCTGTTGTAACAACAATTAAATTAACGGGCTACTGTGGGCTGGCCATATTATTCGCGCCAACGAAAACTATCAACTTAGGCAAATGCACAAGGAACCAAAAACTTACACGGATTGGTGGTATGACAGTAATATAAAATTGCAGCAAGCGAAGACCCGCACCTAATTGAGTTGAAGATAATGAAAATAAAAAGGTAGTAAAAAAATAGGTAACATTCTTTTAAATATAAAAAAGAAATTCAATTCGGTCTTTTTGATATGGAATAAGTTCTTTTTTAATTCTGACAATAGTCCTCCGATTTTGCACTAACAGTTCTACTTGTATAAGCTAACTTTTTCAAAGCGTAAACATTTAATAATGGAATCAAAAAAAAAATTTTTTGCCAGATAAAATGCTTCTCTTTATCGAAAATTCTGAAAGGCTGTGTGCCAAACGGTATAAAAATTAAACGATTTTTTAGAAGTAAGTATATAAGTATTTAGGTAAGAAGTAAATAAAAATAATATTTTTGTAGTTTCAATTACTAAGGATAGGACAAGCAGCGTGTTTCAATGGAAGAGGATGTTCTGCTTTAGAACAGCTACATATACGACATACGTCGGGTTGTAATGTAAATAATAAAAAACAAGTAAGGAAGGCTAAGTTCGGATGTAACCGAACATTTTATACTCTCGCAAAGTCAAATGGTATACTCGTTTGAGATTTCTTTGTGGATTGACTGATATTTTCGGTAGAAGGTCAACTTTAGGCACTGGGGTCCACATATTTAGTACTTAGGGGTTTGCACAGTTTTGGTTCGATTTAGACAATTTTTGGCCGCAAGGTGGCATACTTTAATTGCATATTCACGCAAGTTTTACCCCGATATAATCATTGTTACCTGATTTGCATAGTGGAAAGTGAAAGAATCAGATGGAATTGAAAATGGTGTTACATGGGAAGTAAGCGTGGTTGTAGTCCGATTTCGCCCATTTTCGCACTATGACATAGAAACATGAAAAGAACGTTATGCACCGAATTTGGTTGAAATCGGTTGAGCAGATCTCAAGATATGGTTTTCACCTAAAGTGCTGTGCCGCCCACTATATAATTTGAATGCGGTTCCTATAAAGCCATTTATACCATCTCAGAGATAAAATTTAATGTCTCTGGCGTGTTTAGTGCTTGCTTTATCGCGCTTTTAGTAGTTTTTAACAGTACCGTTATATGGGGAGTGGGCGGGACCACGCCCACTTAAAAAAAAAAAAGTTTTAACTGCAGATGCCCCTCCCTAATGTGATCCTGTGTACCAAATAACAGTCTTGTATCTTATTGCGGAGCTTAGTTATGCAAGTTATTGTTTTTGATTAATGGCGTTTGTGGGCGTGGCAGTGGCCGATTACGCCCATCTGCAATACCAACCGTCCACGGTACCAAGAAACATGTCTACCAAGTTTCATAAAGATTCTCATTTTTACTCAAGTTAGAGCTTGCACGGACGGACAGACGGATGGACGGACGGGACGACAGATCGCCAGACAGTCACCCGGATTTCAACTCGTCTCTTCATCCTGATCATTTATATATATATAACCCTATATCTAACTCGATTAGTTTTAGGTGATACAAACAACCGTTAGGTGAACAAAACTATTATACTCTGTAGCAACAGGTTGCGAGAGTATAATAATAAGAAGAGAAATTGTGATTTTTTATTTTTGTTATTTATACGGGTTTTAGTTACGATTGAAGGAAATTCTTTGAAATTTTTATCATCAACTGCCCAAATTAACATTTTTTAATGTAATAGCCCCTTTCACGTTTATGTGAAAAAGCGGTTTTAGAAATTGAAATGATCACAGGAAACAAGACATTATTGTGACTGCCATTTTACTAGTCACAAGCGTTACAATACATATACATAAAATAAAAATTCTGCTTTCTAACCGAAATTTTCTCACAGTGATTTTTAAAAGTCAGAGGTACCAAAACACTTGTCATCTACTTTCACATCTTTCTTTCTTTCGTCTATCTAAAGCAACATACGAGTATTTATCTTGCAGTAGGTTCTTTTTTAGCATAATCTTCGTTGCTAACGACGGATGTACTCAAAAAATGCCTAAGGGTACAACACTTCAGTTGATGCGCTTAGATTCATTCCATCCTTTGGCTGCTCTTTAGTTGTTCATTTGATTGCGCCTGTGCTTAAAGGACGCGCCCGATGTGAGTTGATAAGCTTGCTTAGTCTTTTATTGAATATGCTGTAGTGCGGTCATAACACAGTTAATTTAAGATATTAACACATATTTCTTGAAATACATATAGAAATTGTGCAATAAAATAGTGGGAACTCAAAATAAAACAGATTTTGTGATGATATCAAATAATTATAATTAATTATGTATATTATGTAGAACAAGAAAAGCATTTATAATGGACAAAATCGATTTGTCCTTCCAAAATAGTTATACATAACATAGTGAATCGTTCGACGGGCTGCTTAAGTCACAACCCAGAACAATATTTATACACATAACTTCTACTTATGTATGTACATATATACCATTTTACAAACTAATGTTTGGCAAACAAAAAATATGCAAATTTATTGGAGTGAAAATTTTGTTTTCAGTGTTTTTTGTCTTAAATAATTATTTAACAATGAAGAAAGAAAAATGAATGACTACGTAATACAAGCGACATGTACAAAAAATATATATGCACCAGTACACACATACATATGTAAGTTTTCACTTTCTACACTACGTCCATATATTAACGACCAGACAATTAATGAAAAAATAAAATAATATAAATACAAGGGCTTTCTGCTGAACAAAAATCTAAATAAAAGTATACTAATGTACATAGATTCTTAGCTTTTATGCACATATATATTATATATTTTACATTCAACCAAGAAAATATACTTTATATACATATTCCCAATCTGTATATACATACATAAATGAAGAGCTTTGATGCTGAAGTATGTGTAAGCTGGTGTGTGTGTATGAGTACATATGACCGTATTTATGAAGCACGTGATGTGAAAAGATACACAGTAAAGTGTGTATTTGAGTATTATATAAATAACATCAAACAGTTAACCGTTTGAAACCAAGGTTGATAACCATATCAGAAGTGTGCAATACAAACTAAATGTTTCGGTACTGCTTATTTTTAACATTAGATTATTGAGGAGTAACGGTAATGAATAAATGCTAATTAAAGCGAATTAAAAGAACACGTTTATGAAAAGAAATAAGGGCATAAAACGTTTCCGGTGGATTTTTTTATTATACTCATACAACATGTTGCTATAGATTATAATAGTTTTATTCACCTAACGGTTGTTTGTACCACCTAACAAGCAACAGTACACATACATATCTGAGGTGGTTCATAGACTACTGACTATTAATTATTATGTTGCATGTCTCATAATTATCTTTAATAAAAAACACATAGGTAACAAGTAACTCTTGTAACTAGCAAGGATCAAAGCTGGCGAAGTTTAGCAAAACTTCATATTAAGAAATGTTGCGAAAGAATTCAGCATTCGTTATTCGACGAAATTGTGAATGGATAACCATTAAATTTGGTATCTTATTAACTTATATTAAAATCATCCTTAACTGAAAAATACTATGTATATGATATAAACTCAACTGAATTTAATATAATATATTGAGTTGATGTAGAAAATGTCAATCAAATTAGGATCCGAATTCATTATATTACGGATATGAGGTTTAGGCCAAGGCCAAGGTCTAGCCCAATTCCATTCATATTCAGTGGTAAAGTAGATAATTTTCAAGGAAACATGTCCATTTAATTTTATTAATATATCGCACACTTTGACCAACCTGTGCGGTTTAAAGTCAAGTGCAAAGTCGGAAATCATTATACTTGTATATGCTATATTGGGGGTAGTGAAAGGGCATACTTAAGACCATATTTTCAAGCAATTATATAAATATATAGTTCGCACACTCAACGACTAATCCTCTTAAGCCTTGTTAGAAAAACGAAAATCATTATATGTAGTATATGGGAGTGGCGGTAATTCGTACATATGGTATAAGGCCAACCGGAATTTTGAAATTTGTATAATAGGTATATGAGGTCTAAGCGATGTATTGACCCGGTTTTATAAATTTTTGGCAATACCACATACTTTTAACATGTTACATACTAATAATATACTCCCTGAGTATCATTAATATCACCAAAGTATTATGGTACATACTTTGGAGTAAAGTCAGCCGGATGTTCAAATATCGTAATATTAGTTATATGAGGGCAAGTCTTCGCTTGATTTTACATTGTATTTAGTTTTTAGTAAAACACGCTCTTTTGTTTTCTCTTAGAACACTCACCTCAGGTTCGCTTTAGGAACTGATTGATTGACAATTTTCGGTTATAAAGTGGCATACTTTAAGCGCACTATTCGGGCACAGTTTTATCCCTATACATTTATTTTTGCTTGACTTGCATAATGGAAAATAAGAGAATCAGATGGAATTTAAAATTGTGTTATATAAGAAGTAGGCGTAACCTCTTAGAGGATTTTTAAGTGTTAGCCCACACGTGCTCTTGCTACTCGATCCTCTGTGCCAAATTACAGTTTTGTATCTTATAAGTGATTAGTTATAGTATTTTATAGGTTTTTGAATAACGACATTTTGGGGGCATGTCAATAGTCTAAGTTTCATCAAGTTATCTCAACCTTTATATGTATATAACTCTATATCTATCTCGATTAATATTAGTTGATACCGTTAAGTGAACAAAACAAAACAGAGTATAAAACGGAATTAAAAAATACTTGTAGAAATGTTAAGCGATCGTGGAAATATTTTCTAATTTAAATGACAAAAACGTTTATTAATTGGCAAGAAAAAGAACTAATCACTTTACTTATTATTGACAATATTTCAGGGGAAGTACTTTGTAGGCATTAGTTGAATATATGTATGGCTGGTTTGGGTAATGAAATTTTAACAATGTGATTGTTAATTTACCGGTCCTAAAAAGTCATACATTTTAAAATAACGTTCCAAAGTTCCAATACCATTTATAGATTTTTTCTGGAATCAATTTTTTTTTTAAATAAAATCATATCGTGTAACAATTTCTACATATGTATGTATTTTGTGGTATGCAATTTGATGTACAATACAATATGATAAATATATAACCAACTCAAAATACGTATAAGCCCATATTTACAGGAAAATTCTATTCCGAGATTGTAACGGAAGGTGAAAATTTACGTTTACTTTCATCACATACAGAGCATGAATCTCCAACTAGGACCAGGGCCCAAAAAATCCTTCCAGTGATATTAAGTGATGGCTTTTTACTGGATAAAAAGTGGCATGTACTATACCAAACCCAAACTACATATATACATATAAAATATTAGTGCATAAATATATTGCATTGTATACCTAAATAAACACTTGTCCACCTCGTCGTTTCTTACGATTAATGAGGAGGTGTGAACACCGTCAATACCATAGCGCTATCAATTCATTCTTAATGCATTCAATACCTACTGCTTATAAAAAACATTGAGTAAACATACTCGGAAGTATAATGTTAACATACATTCATACGATATGTACATACATACAAACAAATATAAATGATTACAAGCAGACATGATATCATTTTCTATAAGATAATTAATCTCTGAGGGATGACATTTTATTATTAATAAGTTTGAGTAATTTGACACTGAATAGAAATAAACAAAAAACCTGATAAGGTTCGAACAATTTAAGTTTATTTCCAGATTTGGACTAAGTTGTTGAACGCAATTTATCTTTTTCTGTTGATAACATATGTCTGTTCTTGTAGCTTTTGTTATGCCTGATATTAAAAGAAAAGCTACATTAAATCATTTTAAATTTTGCTTTATTACACAGAACAACTACGCAAGAGAGTCGAATAGAAGTGAAAATAAACTAGTTTTATTTGATTAATAAGAATGAATTTTTCCCTGGTGCTACAGCATTACTTGATAATTTGTTTGAATCTAGTTTTGGCAGCGGTTGTTGCAGGTGATTTGAAATTACAATCCTAGTATGGTAATAATATAGAACTAACTTATAAATTCTCGTAGAAGAATGTGTGAATATCTCAAGTGAAGGAATATCAATGCGTATAAATTCCAGTACAACGACACCACAGACAGCCACGTCTTGTCCCGCGCTCCATAATGCAGACGCATTAACCCAAACTCAATTGATTTATCGACTTACCACACCATGTCGGTTTGATCGATTTGACAGACCGTTTCCCATACTTGAAAATAACTCTGTATCCGATCAGCCAACAAATATTTATTTGCGGATTTATATTACTGATATAAAAATAATTGATACCAATGATATACAGTGCAAAATATTTGGATTTCTACAGATTCGTTATATGGACCACAGATTGGCATTTGAAGACTATGCACCAAAACGTCTGCAACCGATATTCGGTGATGCACAAATGCTGGATCGAATATGGGTTCCACATATATTATTTGCTAATGAGCAAAATTCCGCTATCTTGGAAACAAGTCAGAAAGACATTTTAATAATGGTTATGCCAGATGGATTGTTGAGCATCTCCACCCGAATAGAAGTAGCATTATCTTGTTCGGTTGCATTAAATAAATTTCCCCTTGATGATCAACAATGCTCTGCGATTATAGAAAGTTGGCTGTACAATTCTTCCGAAGTAATACTGCACTGGGAAGATGAAGATTCGATCGAATTTGATCCAAATATACAGCTAATAGATTATGACTTACAATATTCTTGGCACAATGAAACAATATTCCAAACCAGGAAAGGATATCTTCGGTATACTTTACTGGGTGGCAATTATAGTTCTATAAGTTTTACTGTTTACCTGACGCGCGATTCGTTGTTTTATACATTTGACTATTTTCTACCTTCCATTATGCTTGTTGGAATTTCTTGGGTCTCATTTTGGCTTCAAGCAGATCAAACCCCTGCACGTACCACATTAGGCACAAGTACTATGTTGTCGCTCTTTACGTTAACTTCTAACTACGAAAAAAAATTCGAAAGAAAAAACCATGCACAATTTTTTGATGTTTGGTTTTTCAGTTGTACGTTCTTTATATTTGGTAGTCTTATGGAATTTGCTTTTGTAAATACTATATGGCGCCGAAATAAATGCTTAAGCCTGAAGAAAGCCAATAGCAGATATATTTTTAAGTCGACTTTAACCCCAAAAGTTATACCACAAAGTAATATCTATGATTGTGAGACAGACGGTCGCATACACTTCTTTAATGGCAATATTTGTAATCAGTCGAGAGATAAAGGGCAAGTCAACGTGTTAGAATCCGATGTAAATTTAAGTGGTGAACATCAAGAGAAAAAAGTTTGTAATGATTCATGGGCGACTATGACACCTCATGAGGTTTCACTTTGGGTAGACCGCAAAGCAAGATTTGTGTTTCCACTACTGTTTATCATATTTAATGCAATTTATTGGACATTTGTTTATTGTTTATAGTTCTGCAAAACGAAATAATAGTTAATATTATTAGTTAATATTAATTTACAATAGTAAAACCTTTAATAAAGACAAAAATAAATAAAAGGCTGTTGCCGTCATTGTCTGTCTAATTTATTGTTTATTATTTAGTCACTGGACTCAAATTATCAAAGCAACGATAATATACACTTATTAACAATTACAGGTGATCTCTTTTTTACACGAGTTGGTCGAAACCGTGATATAGCAGCTCCTTTTTTTATACAAATCGTTCTTCTTTCGAAACAAAAGCATGCAAAAAAAAATATCGTGCAAAGCAAACACAGTTTTGTATGCAAATCAGCTTATGAAAAGATCATAAATTTTTTTGCAGCACTGACATAAAAAAAAATAAATAAAGATTACAGAAAAAAAAGGAGCAAGTAACGAAAAATAAGATGAAACGTTAACTTCGATTGCACCGATGCTATAATACCATTCCCAAACATAAAAGTTTCCAAACAAAAACCGGTCGGATCTTTTCATATCATTACTTTTGACAATAATCCATGTAAAATTTTGAGAAGATTCTCCAGATTAAGAATATATATAATTATAGCCGCCGGAAACAAATCTAATTAAAAACAAGTAAGGAAGGGCTAAATTCGGATGTAACCGAACATTTTATATTCTCGCAAAGTCAAATGGTATACTCTTTTTAGATTTCTTTGTGGATCTTGCCGCCTTGTTCTATGTTGATATAGGCACTGGGGCCCACATATTCAGTACCTAGGGGTTTGAACAGTTTTGGTTCAATTTAGATAATTTTATTATCAACGTATTATTCACGCAAAGGTTTACGCCGATATAATCATTGTTGCTTGATTTGCATAGTGGAAAGTGAAAAAAATCAGATGGAATTTAAAATGATGTTATATGGGAAATAGGCGTGGTTGTAATCCGATTTCGCCCATTTTCGTACTATAACATAAAAATTTGAGAAGAATATTATGTACCGAATTTGGTTGAAATCGGTTTAGCAGATCCCAAGGTATAGGTTTTCACCTAAAAGTGGGCGGTGCCACGCCCAGTATTTAATTTTGTACGTGATTCCTATAAAATCATCTTATACCATCCCAGAGATAAAATTTAATATCTCTGGCTTGTTTAGTGTTTGGTTTATCGCGCTTTTGGTAGTTCTTAACAGTACCGTTATATGAAGAGTGGGCGGGGTTGTCACCCGATTTCACCCATTTTCACACCGTCGATAGAGATACTAAAAACATTTGTTCTCAGTGAATTTTGTTATTATAGCTTCAGTGGTATAGGAAATATGCACATTAAACTTATTAGGGGGCGGGACCACGCACACTTTAAAAAAAATTTTAAACTGCAGATGCCCCTCCCTAATGTGATCCTGTATACCAAATAAGAGTCTTGTATCTTGTTGTGGAGCTTAGTTATGGCAATTAATTTGTTTTTGATTAATGGCGTTTTGTGGGCGGGGCAGTGGTCTGATCACGCCCATCTGCAATACTAACCGTCTTACGGTACCAAGAAACATGGGTACCAAGTTTCATAAAGATATTTTAATTTTTACTCAAGTTACAGCTTGCACGGATAGACAGTCACCCGGATTTCAACTCGTCTCTTCGTCCTGATCATTTATATATATACAAGTATATAATCCTATATCTAACTCGATTAGTTTTAGGTGATACAAACAACCGTTAGGTGAACAAAACTATTATACTCTGTAACAACAAGTTGCGAAAGTATAAAAAAGTAATGTTAAAGAGGAATTGACAACATTTATTATTTGTCAACATGGTACCCTTTGGTTATTGTGAATATAACGAAAATTGTGTAAAAAGTAAAATACTTTTTTAAAGCAAATAATAAAATAATTGATATAAATTAAATTTTAACCGTGAAATCGTGGGATGGTATACTAAAGTTTCTCTCAGCTATATGCTATAGTGATTCGATATCGGTGGTGAGCAGCTTCTTGGTGAGAAAAGGACGTATGCAAAATATCAGATCATATAGACCGACGGACATGCTTAAATCGATCCAGCTTGTCACGCTGATCATTTATATATAAGTATGAGTGCGTGGGGGCGTCATATTGTCGTGTTACTTACCCATAGACTTACCGATAACTACTAAAATGCAGAAAAGAACATTCAATGTTTGTTCAGCTGAAATTCAACAACGATCAAAACTACCGTTACTTGTAAAAGCTTACTTCTTGAAATTTTCCGGTTAATTATGTGGAACGAATTTTGTATGTTGCGTGTTTTTACTATTTTTAAGTTTCCAAAAATTAAATAGAATATTTTTCCTTTAATTTGATGTATCATATGTGACATTTTTTAGATTTTGTCTGGATGGTACCATCATTGGCAATGCACGCCTCCGGTTAGACATCTGAGTCACTGTATATACAGGTTCTTATAATATTCAATAGAATTATTCATATTAGTTGTACTTAATAAATCCAATGCCTTTTCTAAACCTTAACGAATAATACTTGTGGTAAGAAAGACAGTTCTACTGAAAACATCTTTTCCTGCTTTATTTTCATCGTTGTTATTCGTCGTTACAGAATTTTCAAAAAATTCGTCGACATCTTAAGTGGTCAAACCATTATATTTTTCCTTATTTGCCATGCTTGAAACTTGTTACCCCCTTTCAAACCAAAGAACTTATGACTGCATCAACGTTCTATGTTCAAACTTTTCAAAATTTTTACATATTTACATTTTCAATCAGACTTTTAAGCGTTTAAGCGTTTTGGTTGAAGTTTTGAAATTTGGTATTATCGATATCAACTCAATCCGACAAAAAAGTTTCGGTTGAAGTGTTGTCAAACTTCAACTTTTTTGGAGTATTACGTATTACAAATATGTGGCGTGCGGTTGACTAGAATATCAAAAAATTACAACTGCTACAAACCAGTTGTATATGAAGATTATGCGTTAATATTAGGATAGGAAATATACTATTTTATGTATAATTTTAAACTATTTTAATCAGTTATTTGAAACGTGAAAAACTAGTTAAGCCCGTGGAATTGGCTCCCGAAAAAAATGTTCGGTTCCGTTCAAAATGAAAATCTCCAATAAAAAATTTTATGTTAAATAATACACGACGTGCTTAAAAGTGCAAACCATATAATAAGCTGCCAAATTTTTTGCTAGAATGCAACACCATTAGATGTAATTTTTCATTGTAATTTCAATTAATCCCGCCTTTGTTCTCAGAAGGTTGTCATACATTTAAAGTGATTATTTTGTAAATATTTTTGAAATGAGTGTGAACCCAGTGTATTTTTATTTTGACAAAAACTATTATACAAGTGAGTGCATACATTGCAATTTAAAATGAGAGGAAAACATTCTGAACCGAATCGCATCGATTTTTGTAGTGGTTTGCAGCCCTGTTTAAAACCACCTTACTCCCAGTTCATACACAGACTCTTTTGTAACCCAAACCAGTTTGTTGTAGGCGAGGGGACGACGAGAAAAGACGAAGGGACCGTGCCACTCGTGCTCGGGTGGATCGCTTTGTGTTCTTGTTCGTAATAGCTCTCTGCTACCCTTTTCAGCATTTCTTTTCACTTTCAAATTCTTTGAATGGTTGCAAGAGCGCTCGGTTTCAAATGATGTATACCATTTGTTTAGAAATTTGAATTCTGTTATCTATTTTTTGTATGCAATATGCAAATATGTATGCATAGAATGAATAGAAATATTTTAACTCAAAAATATTCAGTTAAAAGATTAAATAACATATAGCGATATTAAATGTAATAATATCAAAGTATACATTAAAGAATTCTAATAAAAATGATAACTTTACTATTTTATATTTACATAAAATATTAAGATGCTTTCATATATATTTCTTTTAACCGCAAAGAATTTAGTTCGAACATCATTTTATTTAAAACAAGAATTGTAACTTATTCAAGGATGTTTTATAATAAATAGAAAAAAATTTGGAGTAAAAAAATTATGAATTTTTAATACTTAAAGATTAGAAAATTCCTGTTATAAATTTGACCTTGAAATATTCGTTGCGGGTATTCAATACATTCTGGTGGATTAGGGAATGCCCGACTTAAGTATTTCTTTGAAAGTATTAAGCGGGTAGGTATTATGCATATTGTTATACCACATTCATGGTAATTCATTGCAAGAAAATCATGAGACCATCATCTCAACATACAAATGAAATATCCAACATACTCTAAGTGTCGCGTAGCCGAACCGCACAAAATTTTATGAAAAGGAGTGACTGAAAAACTCGATTTGAGTCGTTGGACTCTTTTTGCTCGTTGGACTCTTTTGCACAGAGCGACACCAAAATTGAATTTGCCGATAATGAGGGTCAAAAGAATCACCATGTAACGCAGTATTAGCAATCATAGGTATCGTAAATTGCGTAAGTCCAAAGTTAAAATTGGAAATTTGTAACATTAGAACTAAAAAAGCAAATGTCAGAAATTAAACGACGCGACCAATAAACATATTGCATTTAAATGATATTTTTATATGGTGTAATAATGCGGATTTAGTTCAATGACAATGAAGTTTTATAGTGTTTTTTTTTAAATTAAATTTATAATCTTATTTACATTTACTAGAATCCACATTATTTATAATCCATATTTACACCTTTTGCATGTAAAACTTTAAAAACTAATTTAAAACACTGTGCAATTTGAATTATGTACACCCGTTTATTTTTATACTCCCGCAACTTGTTGCTACAGAGTATAATAGTTTTGTTCACCTAACGGTTGTTTGTATTACCTAAAACTAATCGAGTTCGATATAGGGTTATATATAATATTTATAAATGATCGGGAAGTGCAAGCTGTAACTTGAGTAAAAATTGAGATATCTTGTTCTTGGTACACAGGTTTCTTGGTACCGTAAGACGGTTGGTATTGCAGATGGGCGTAGTCGGACCACTGCCCCGCCCACAAAACGCCATTAATCAAAAACAAATTAATTGCCATAACTAAGCTCCGCAACAAGATACAAGATTCTTATTTGGTATACAGGATCACAAGAGGGAGCGGCATCTGCAGTTTATATTTTTTATTAAAGTGGGTCCCGCCCCCTAATAAGTTTAATGTACA